TGGATCCAGTGCTCCAGGCTGGCACCTTGAAGCAGGCAGGGATGGTGCCCACCAGCACAGGCAGGGGTGCCCAGAGGAGCTCACCAAGCACCCAGCACCCTGGCTGGGTGCTGCCTCCTGTCCTCCTGCCTGGGTCACCCGCCATGAGGGCAGCCCTGTGGCCATGATCTGGGTGAGGTGCCAGACCCTGGGGCACCGTACTCCTCCCAGCCACAGCCTTCTCGCTGGTGAGTGACGGCACTGCACAGCACTCCTGTCCCCCCACAGCCACCCCATGGTGATGTCCTCTCCCCTGCCCCACAGTGGCTGAAGGGACAGGCTGCCCTGGCCATGTGTCCCTGGCCCTGCAAGCACCAGGAGCTGCCGTAAGCTGCCCAAACCATAGCACCAGGTATGTCCCCAGCCCCTGGGCTCTCCCTCCCCAAGAAGGTGCAGAATTACTGAGCTCCAGTCTGTCTTTGCCTGGCCATTTACCATTGATTCCTGGGTCCCCGTTGCCCTGCTGCCAGTCTCCAGGGCAAGGGGGCTCTGAACAGGGCCAGGTACTGTCACCCACTTCTCCTTGCTCGCAGAGCTGCTGCTTCTTCCAGGTGAGCTCAGTCCCCGGCATGTCCATAGAGCACAACTGGAAAGGCACGAGCTCTTCCAGCCTGTCAGGAGCCTGTGACTGAGACCACATTCCCCACCATCCCCAAGCAGTGGTTTTACCTGCCCTCTGGAGGTCCCTGGGGTTTATCACCACACCAGAGACAGGGACAAAACCAAAAGCAGTAGCTGGGATGTCACAGGTCTCGGGCAGCAGATGTGTCTTGCAGGATCCGGTGGGGGAACACCTTGTAGGTCACCCTATCCGGAGCTAGCAGGGTGCTTGGGAGGAGTGCAGTGAGAGAGGAAAAGCCGCCCCAACCCCACATGCCCACACCCCATTAAGAAGCACTAAGACAAGGCAACATCATACTCCAAGCATCCCCCAACTGCTCCCCTCCAAAACTGGGGACTCCCTTTCTCTCTGTGGGTTGGGAAGCAGATTTCCTCCTTAGCTCCAGCTCGGAGACCCACCCCACCACTCCCTGAGTCCCCCAGCCCAGCCATCACCCCCCACTTGACCAGCTGTAGCCAGAGACACCCAGGGCCCATGAGCCCACCATGGCCCAGCATCCCCTTGCGAAAGAAGAGCCCTGGGGCTGGACTCCAGGGCTCGAAGGGGTTCAAAGCCCTGCCGGTTTCCCCAAAGGCCGCTATGCAGGCATCTGAGGAAGTTTAAGGGTGGACAAAGTCTTCAGGATGAGGAGAGCAGGCAAGGTCATGACTCACCGCAGATTTAGGGCTCCCACAGCTCCAGACTTGCTTCCTGAATGAAGAGGATCCGAAACCTTTTTCTAGAGCATGATGGAGGCTTCTTCCCCTCCCAAACAACCCCATGGCTATCTTTTCACCACTCTTACTAGCAGGACACAGTAGACCACAGACACAGTAGACCAAAAGCCCTGCTTGGAAAACAGTCCGGCTCCATCCCTCTCCAAGCCACAGGAGGCAGCAGACCTGGTGCCTGGCACTGACAGAACACTGCTTTTCTTCTGACCTCAGGAAAAGTTGTAGCCTTAAAGAGGACAAACTCCACGCCCCAGCCAGCTTGCTCCTTTCAGGGCTGAGCAAGAGGAACCAGTGCCAAGTTCCTCCAAATCTCAACCACGGTGGCAGCGGGAGGAGAGGAACAGCCTCCCAGGGAAGGGCTCTTCCACAGCTCACTTGCAAAGCGTATTTAAGGGCGAACACAGCAGGATTGCAGCATTTTCAGATTTAATAGCAAGCCTGCACTCATCAGCACCAGCTTAGACGCGGGGCATCAGAGGCGAGAAGTGGGCGAGTACATGAAATAGCAGAGGTGGACGCGATGCACAGCTGGGCACAACAACAGGACTAAAGCCCTAAGTGATGTCATCTGCAAGAAGCTAAATGCGCTGTGGATAAAAGGAGCCTGCAGCTAGTATTTCAGCCTTGCCTTGCAAGGCTATTTTTGCTTAGATTGCCAAAATGTAATTACAACTAAATCCCCCCTAACAAATACCAGAGAGCAGCAGGGGAGAGTTGTATTTAAAAGGAATTTTAAGTAGCAGCCGTAGTAGTACCTGATCACAGCGGGGAAAACAAACCGCGCCTGGAAAGGAGCATTTGGTTGAGAGCTGGTGACAAGTAAGTGGCAAGAGCAGGAACAGGACTGTGGGGTCTTGAGAAACACAGAGAGGGTTGCCACCACAGCCCGGGGAACTGCCCTGCTCCCTGCCCAGCCAGGTGGCAGCAGGCACAAACTGCCTGGCCACAGGGAGCAGTTACTCATCGCTGTCAGCGCGCTGAATGTTTCTAGAGACAGCCTAGGACTGACACCCTCAATGCAGAAAACAAACCCTTCAGAAGACTGAATATTTTAAACTGTTTCCTCTGCCGCTCCTGGCTGCTTTCAGTCTAGACTTCAATAATAACATGAGGAATTTGCAATTGGAGTCATGAGGCTGAAGGTCTCCCAGTCCTCAGGGCCGGTAATTGTCCCAGACATGGGCCACTAGTTCTGCGGTCACGACCAAATTGGCCCAAGCAGCCCCGTCTCCTGGGGGACTGCGCAGAGCACGTAGGGCAGGAGACGTGCCCCATCTCTGGCCGCAGCCTCCGCTCCTGGGCCCAGTGCAAAGGCTCTATTAAAAATGAAACGCAATTGTGCGATTCCCCAAGGAAAAGGGGAAAAGGCTGGAGCTGTTAATGAGTACAATTAGCATTGTAGTCAAGCAGAATCAGAGGAAATAATTAGGTCCTATTGTTTCCGCAGCATCCGAATTGCAGCCATGCTGGCTTTCCAGGCAACAACCCATCAGTCTAGCCTCACCCCAGAGGACAGGAGACAGGGGGTCACTCACAACCTCTCTTCTGGTCACAGCTTTCATGCAGCTGTAAGTGGCAGCCTGGGCTATCACCCTCTTCTGCTACAGCCCTGGGGGTCCAGTTTCCCAGATGGTCGGAGACTTGCAAACCTCAGTGCACCCCAGAAGCACGCACGGCCCTGCATTCAGCCTTTCCTTGGATCCAACACAGGGCAGCACTGCTGGCTCTCCACTGAGACAGCTGGAGTCAAGGCAACTAAGTGACACCAAATGCCTCCTGGTCCTAGTTTAAGGGAAGCTTGGATCCATTTCCCCAAATAGGGCTGGGTGCAAGGCACTGCGAACCAGGGAGTATGAAGAAGGGGCAAAGACAAAGCAAGCATCTAATTTTTTAAGCACGATGTTACATCTCTAACTCCTCTGCCCATGTGATGCCACAAATACAGTGAAGATTGACCACAACTGGCACTTGGGGTGCTTTTCTGCTTCATGTAGGTGGGCAGCTCAGGGGAAGATGCAGCTGGCAGAAGCAGGCCTCGGGCCTTACCACAGCCTAGAGAAATACCATCCCACCAATTTTTACACAGAACCAAAAGAAGAGAGACTGAAAGAAACAAAGAGACCCAATAATTTATTGGCAGAGCTGAAAGGGGGCGTTTGAAAACCAGAGGGCTGACTCTCAACTGGGAAGCTCCTCCCAGCTGCAGAGAGATTTATAATACTGGTATCCCTCAGCAAAAGGCTCTGACGTTGAGGCAGAATCCCAGAGATCCTGCATGCCATGCAGAGAAAGAGAGGAAAGTGCTGCAAGATGCGGCCCCAAGGGCACGCTGCTAATTGAAAGGTTGGCCTCC